TCACAGGCGTGGGTGGGCGTTGTCATGGGTTGCAAGGGCGCCAACAGGAGGAGGTCAGCAACGCGTGCACGTCGAGGCTGACAGCGACAGCGGGCCGCGCTGTTGTGGAGGACGGGAGGTTGCTGCACTACACGTGGAGCAAAGCCCCAAAGACGCCCCTGCGCAGAGCCATTATTGGGCACCTACGCACCGCAGACCGGCATGACCTCCACAGGAGCCATGCAGCCCTGTCAACCGTGCACAATGCATGGGTGCACTCACGAGCACGTACATACACATACACACACACACGCACGTGTGCAAACACACACACACACACATACCCACGCGAACACACACACACACACACACACAACTCACCTGCCGCTCGAGGTCCAGCGTGCCGAAGGCCCTCGACACGTGATGGTCGCTGGCCCCCGGCAGCAGCTGTCGGTACAGCGCAGAAAACTCACGCGCGTCGACGGTGCGGTCGCCTTGCATCACAGGCGGGTATAGGGACGCAGGAGGGTGGGTGTTGGTGGGAGTGAGGGCGGTCACGTGGGCGGTCGGCCATGGGTTGCGGGGTTGCGAGTGGCTATGTGATGAGGTGTGGTGCTGGGGTGAATTTGTGGCACGAGACGGCGGTGTGTGTATGTATGTGTGTGTGTGTGTGAATGTGTGTGTGTGTGTGTGCATGTCGATGACCGTGGCATCACCTGGGTTACCGTGTGCAGGGTTGCGTGTCACCAGGACCACAAGCACTGCAATCAATGCCCTGTGAAGGCCTTGCTCCTGAAGTCAAAATCCACAGCCAGAGCCCAGCCCTCAAGCGCCACACCCGCCCCGCCCCAGCGCCGCGCCCCTCGCGTTGCCCGCGCCGCCCGCGGCCGCTCACCGTCCGTGTCCCCCGCCAGGAACAGCTCCCGCACCTGCAGCAGCGCGCTGCTCATGCGCTCCAGCAGCAGCGGGTTCCCCAGCGCGGTCATCTTGATCGCCGCGAAGCCGGGGCCGGGCAGGGTGCCGGCCGCCTCGATCGCGCGCTTGAAAACGCCCACGTGCCGGTCGCACGCGGCCTCGTCCTCATACCTGTACACGCGGCCCACCACGCCCTTCGCTCGGGCCAGCGCGTCCGCGGCGCCCCCGGGCCCCGCCGCCGCGGTGGCGGTCGCGCCTGTGCCTGTGTTGGTCTCAGGAGCATGGGCGGTGCCGCCGCTGCCATGGGCTTCGTGGCTGGCGGACGCGGCTGCGGGCCCGGCCGCCTCCACGTCGTCCTCGGCTGCATAGTCTATGATGGTGCGCACGCCGTTGGCCTGGAGGTAGCTGATGGTGGGGCCCAGGCTGGCCTCGTCCTCGCCGGCGCTGCACAAAAGGATGAGGCAAAAGGGGGACGAGCGTGTGTTTGACGAGCGGAGGCGGTCTCGCTGTTCAGGGGCGTGCACGGCCGCAGAGGCATGTGCAACCAAACACATCGGCGCAAGCAAGCATCACGCGGCAGCACCCGTCAGGCAGATGCAGAGGCGCGTGCATGGGGAGGGGCGGGCCCGGCGGCGCCCTCGAGGCGTCCCCGCACGCGCGCCCTCGCCACAGCCCACCCCTCCCCCTCCCTGTTGCAATTGCGTGGAAAGATCTGATGCGCAAGCGCAGCAGCAACCCAGGGCCGCCCACCAGAACTGCTTGAAGAAGGTGCTGCGGACAAGGGAGAATGTGAGGCGGTCCCCCAGGAGTTTGCGGGACGCGCGCAGCATGGCCTCTGCGTTGCGCACGACCGGGTCAATCTTGCAGATCGTAAGGACCACCTGAGTACGGATCGGTTGGGGCATGGTGGTCAACGCGGTGGATCTAGTGGAACCATGTGTGAAGGTGACGTCTGAGGGGCGGCTGGTGGGCCACTGCCACCGCTTGTGACCTTCCTGTCAGATCCTCTGACGCTGCTGCTGCAGGGGCGCGGCGAGCTTTTGTGCCAGGGCTGAGCGTGGAAAGTACATGAACGCACGGTGCGCATTGACCCTGCCGTTTGGAAGATGCGCCAAAGATGCGCCCCTCTTCAGCAAGCTGCCCCTCACAGGGATACCTTGTCTACCTATCGTCACATCGCGACCCTCCCCCATATCTTGCCGTACGCACATAGGCCCGCAGGAGGTCGGAGAGCTTGGCGGCTTTGAAGACAGCCCTCGGGTTGTTGAAATCCAGGGGCGCCAGCGAGTCGCCGGCGGCGGCGCTGGTGGTGGCTCTAAGGCTGCTGCTGCTGCTGCTGCTGCTGCTGCTGCTGCTGCTGCTGCTGCTGCTGCCAGTGCTGGTGGCGGGTGCTGCAGTGGAGCCAGTTGCGGCCTGGGTTGACATTCCCTGGGGACCGAAGCCCTTTTGCGAGTCAGCATGGGAGGTGTGGTATGAAGGTTGCAACCAGGAAACGGCACCGGGTCATGCATGCCCTTGGGGTCTAACAAATGTGACGCGCGTCGGCCTTTCAGATGCTGCAAAACAAGCCCAACCTGGCAGTGACGCGCAGCTGAGAGCGCGGCGAGGGTTGGCGCCGCCGCTGCTTGCAGCAGCCATGGCTGCAGCATACGCGGCGCCAAGCCCGCTAAGTTCATAATATGAACCCTCTACACACAGCAAGGGGAGGTCGGAACTGTTTAGATCGCGCTTTGGGCGCGCGCAAAGTGAGGTATGATCGATACGTATACAAATTTTGTAAGCGTACGAGACATGTGACGAGTTTACACGAGCTGGTGTCGTGCGACATGTGTCAGGAACTGCTGAGCTGTTCAGTGAAGTTTGGCGGGCCATGTGGCAGCGCACCACCAGCAACGAACAAGCCGTTTCGACTCAAGGCGATGCCTGTCACCATTGCTAGCACGTTTCCCTGCATTTCAAAACGACACATCGTCGTCTATTGATGTTAGCAGGACGGTGCAGGTGGCAATGCAACATGTTGGCACCCACAGAGCACTCTCTAGTGCTCTGATATGAATGACTGGTGGGCTGGCCACCCCATACGCTGCGACCCCACACGCAACCCTCACAGCTGGCCCTCCTAGTGTGCCCGGGTATGATATCACAACCGGCCGCCTCGATTACTTGATGCCACCCGCACATGTAACAGGCATTTTTTTGGCCTGTGCAAGGGCATCCCCAGCTAAACACCAAGTTTGAAACAATTGCACGTCCGCCAGAACCTCGCTGGCAGGAGATGATGATTCAAGTCACATGCATACATTTCGCAATGATGCAACCCCCATGGCATTGGCAAGCCAGAAGACTGAAGGGCCGGCTCGCACCCAAGCCCAGCGGGGGTGTGCATGCGCCATCTGCGCTGCCTACGCGCATCCCGGGCGCCGTACAGAGAAGCTTCTGGCCGCACTGCAAACATGCTTCCGCCAGCGCGCCCTGCGCACATGCTTCAGCGCATCATGCAAACATGCAGCTGGTGTTGCGTCACGCAAACACGCGGCCGGAAATGCGGCATGCGCATGCTTGCTGGCGCACCAAACACAAACGCTGTGGCCATGCGGCAACAGCTGGGCCGGAATTGGTACGCAACGCGCAACAGCCATGCGCCTTTGCAGCTGCACGCATGAATGAATTCAGGATGCTGGAAGTTGCATTTATGAAAGGCAACAAAAATGCACGGGCAGGGCAGCCGCGCAGCAGCAATGGCGGTGTGTGCTCGGCACGCACCTTGGGTGTGGGAGCGGGTTTGCAGTGGCTGGGAAGTGACGTGTGGTTGAAGTCCTCCTGCAAGTCTATGTACCGGGCTCAGCTACAATGAAGGGCGGGAGCAGTGGCTCCAAGCAAGGCCTGCTGGTAAGAATGATCATTGTTAGCCGATCGCCCAAACAAAGTCAGGATGACACCCGTCCAATCAAGGTGGATGGGGTAATCAAAGCACGGATGGTTTCTCGACCACGCACAAGCTAGCTGCAAGCGTGAGGTACCAACTGTGGGAGAGCGCCGTCCTTGCAGGCTCAGCCGAGCCACCAGCCTGGCAGGAAGCCCGCAGGCCGGGCTTGAGCTGCGCGCGCCGCTGCGTGCTGCGAGTTATTCCTGCTGAGCCTCTGGAACCTTGCCGCTGGCGCAAGGTGCGCAGGACTCGACGGCGGTGCCGGCCTGGCACCGACCGCCGCAGCTGGTGGCTTGCTGGCAGCTGTGGGGGTGGGCTGCAGGCTGGCGGAACCGCCCTGACGGGCGGCCGCGGCAAGGGCGGCAGGATCAAGCGGGGCCAGGGTTGCCCCAGCCGGCGGCGCCGATGGCTTGAGGCTGCTGGGCAGCACAGGCACAAGCGTGCTGTTAAGGATGACAGCCGCAGCCGGGCGCGGGGTCGTCCCACCCGGGCGGACGACACTGGTCTGTGACGGGCCCGGTTGGGGCAATGAAATCTGCGGCGGCCCCAGTGGAGGCGTCGCCTGCGACGGCAGCGCCTTGGTACCACCTGGCGGCCCCCGTGCAGCCGCTGCGGCCAGGGACGCAGGCGAAACGGGCGCCGCGGCGCGCGCGGACGCAGCACGCTGCGCGGCCGCGCCGCCGGCGACCGGAACCAGCCCTGCCGCTGCCGCGAGGCGAGCAAAGGTGCGGCGCATCGTTGTCACTGTCCCAACCGCGATGTACGCGTTGTAGGTGAACGTGGACCCGGGCTGGATCGCGTATTGTGCTGTGGGGGCGAGGTACGATGTGTCGCTGACGCGGGTGCTGTTGTCGGGACCTACACGGTACCTGTGGATTGGCGGTGGCGAGTTGGTGGTGTTGCATTTTTGTTTTCATACATTTGTGCACTTGCACGCATGGATGCATGTGTGTGCATATGTATGGAGGGATGCACGCGTAAAAAGCAGTGTGTGCATCCGAGGGTGCTGATGCATGTTTGTCAGACAACCGCCTATACACTGCCCGTCAGCCCCATGTGACCACTCACGCGACCAGGCCTGAAGAGCTGGGCGAAAACACGCCAATGCCATAACCTGTGACAGGGTCCACGTAAGCGCCCCACCTGGCATGTGTGCAGACAAATAAGATTTGGCGGCAATCATTGGGTTGAGTGCTCAGCTGTAGAAATGATGATTGCAGATCGCACGCGAATGCTGTGCGATTTTGGCAGCTCGCTCCTCGCCGTTGTGCCCACGGCAGCGCCGTCCACGCCCAGCATACTGTTTTTCAAAACAGCCCGCCACACAGTGCCGCACCTCTCTGTGGGTGTGAAGTAGTTGTTGTTCCCGCCAGGCATCACAAATCTAGGCGTATCGCCCGTCCAAGGTTTTGCCCCTTCGTAAAACACAAGCACGCTCAGGCGCCTGTCGACGAAAAACGCCGGCACCTCCTGCGTCTTCAGCGGCTGAGGAGTGGCGCCGGTATACGTCATCGAATAAGTCATCGCCAAAGCGTCCGGTAGCAACGAATATTCTGATGTCATGGTGACATCATCCAGCAGCTCTTGGCCACCCCAGTTGCGCGGGTTTGAGATGACGCGGACGCGGGAGGGCGGCGAGCCTTCCACGAATGTGTTGAGGACGCGGGCGGGGTAGTTCTGCCAAGAGCCACATTGCACTGCAAGCAGTGAGCCAAAAGGGGTAGCAAGGGGTTCAGTCAGATGTGGGCCGTGAACCAGAGCAAGCGGCACGAAGCCAAGGCCTGGGCGCCCAGCAGGCGGCTTGCGGAATTCCCCGCCCCAGAACACAGCACGCACTCGAGAACGCCGGCAGCCAGTAGACACCCTGCTGGACCTGACGCCTTCTGGCTTCCAGCCCACATTGCTGGCGCGGTCACATGCTCCACCGCAAGGAAGGATAGTCCACAGACTTTCGCCGCCAAGCCGTGCGCCAGCCAGGCACCCACCAGGGTTCCACCGCCAAGGCTTGGACGCCCAGCACGATCCGTCTGAGCACCCGTAGTAGCTTTGCTGCACCAGCCGCCCGCAGTCCCAGACGTTGACCAGGTTGCGCCCGGTCAAAGGCGGCGGCATGACCGGCGAAGTGATCTCGCCGACTACGCCGCCGCGCGCGACGTCGATGCCGACGGAGAGGGCGTCGTTTTCAATCGAGGTCAGCTGCTGCTGCAGAATCTGACCCTGCGGCTGCCCGCGCGGGTTGAGCACGGTGACGTCATTGACCGGGTTCACCACGCCATGCTCTGCGCGCACCACGTTGACCACCGCCGCGTTGCGCGCACCCGCGGCCACGGCGCCGCCCGTGCTGAGCGCCGCGCCGCCGCCGGCGTCGCCCGGCGGCCGCGGCTGCGCGATGTTGATGGGCGGTGGAACCGCCTGCTGCTGGCTGGCGGTGGTGACCGGAGGGGCGGTCAGGGCCAGCAGCAGCTGCGCCAGGTCGGGCGGCGGCCCGCGGCCAGCTGGGGCCTGCTTGAGCGTCCGCGCACTAAGGCGGCGGTGCCGCCGCCGCCGCCCCAGGTCCCCGCCCTCCGCCCGCGCCTGTGCGTGCTCGTCCCCGCTGCTGCTGCCAGCCCCCGCGCCTGCCTGCCCCCGCACCTGCCCGCCCAGCATCGAGCTGAGGCGCTCAAAGACCGCCTGCTGCTGCGCTTGCGGCAGCGTCGGTGTGGGGCTCGCGGCCTGGACGCGCTGCGGCAGCTGCAACGAGCCTGCTGAGACCACCTCCGCGCGTTCCTTTGCAGTGCTGTAGCCCACAGGCTGCAGCTGCTGCAGCTGCTGTGGGCGAGCTAAGAAAGCCGGCGACGGCGAGGGAGATGCCTGGCGGCGCTGCCGCCGGCGCCGCCGCCGCCTCGCGGCCGTCCCATTGGCGGCAGCGGCGGCCGCGGCGGGGGCCGAGGAGGTGTAAAGAGGCAGCGCGGTGCGGGTCAGCGGGGCGGGGCCCGGCACGGCGCGCTGTGCGGCGGATGGCAGCGGCGCCGGAGTGGCGGCCTGCTGCGGCGTTGTAGATGCCGCTGGCGCAGCTGGGGCGGTGGTCATGGGCAGGAGTGGCCCTGTGGGCGGTGCAGCAGGCTGCGCTGGTATGGCTGCTGCGTTTGGCACAGCGCTGCTTACTGGCGGCGGCCATATGCTGCGATTGACGGGTCGAGGGAAGCAGTGAGTCAAATTCATGGGTGCAGCTGCCTGCAGCTGCCAGCTCTTCCTTCCAGGTGGTGCTGTGGAGCAGCTGTGCCACAACAAATGGAGATGCGCACGCTGCAAGGAGAAATGCAGCTGCGCATGCTGCAGTTGCCAAGCGTCCCCCACCCGCATGCCTCACCACGCAGGTTGCTCTGACATGCACTGCGACAGTGCTGCTGGTGCTTGCGCCCGGAGCGCCACTAGCACCAGCACGACGGCCAGCACGTGCCGCGGCATGGCGCGGTCAACGCCTAACAACCACTGTTCGTTTCATGTACAGTGCTTTCTGCGCGTGGCAAGCCCGTCCAGGGGGTTCACAGTACTTGCTTCGTCTGCTGTCCAACAAAGCGCGGGTGACGAAGCTGTAAATCAATACTAGACTTGATTCAAAAAATCACATACATGGGGACTGAACGCCACCTTCAAATGCAGGTAAACGCCGACTTGTGAACGGGTGAGTGCATGTGTGCCTGCTGACAGGTGACAAGGAACACATCACGACGTCTCTTGAGTACAGTATTCACCTGAAATTTTCTGGTCTCTGGCACTTCCTACCATGGTGGAATCAGCTCTGATGAAGCACACACCGGTAATGCTGGGCCATCATAATTCGTGACTGAAGCCTCCACATCGAGATGCAGCAGCAGCGTCGATGTAAAATGCCAGCCTTGGCGACAGGCTCCGATAATTATTACGAGACACGATTGCTGCTGGCTTGGGAGCTCATGAAGGATGGCAACTTAAGCATGTCAGATCTGACAAATGCAGTTTGGAGCGGGCGACACGCCGGTGTGGGGCGAGATCAAATCACAGGCACTGGTGCGGCGGCATTGTGCAGACATTTATTGACTCATCCGTTTGACTTGGGGTCCACTCAGTTCTCAATCAGCAGATGTATGTGTAGGGATGCCCAAACAGGCTTTTTTCAAGGTACGGTATGTGGTCACCATCATGTTGGGACACGACTTGGGACACCAGCTCACAATCCCGCCAGAAAAACACCCGTGGCGATTTATACCGGCATACCAGCCATGTCACATGGTCTGGCCCTGCTGTGTGGGCGTATGTCATGTGAAGTAAGCTCTACACGATCAAGGTGGCGATAGTCTTTGATAATTTTGCAAATCAGAACTGGGGACCCTTGTTCCCTACAAAAAAAGTGAATGGCACAAGCCTGTCCATACATTTCTGGTCAGTAGCTGGGTTGCACAAACTGTGCGATGTTGTTGAACTCCGTCATTGACAGGCGCATAGCGCAAGCATCGTGGACCTGTCGAGTGCGTCCCTTTTCCAATTTGAGTGGACAGTGGTAAAAACGGCACAGCTGATGAGTGTGATTGGGTGACGTGAAGCGCAAACAGGTGAGAGAGTCTGCTGCTAGGGTTTTTTAGCGGAATGCGGCTTGCTTATTTAGTGGCCGCGCCAGTACGAAGGCAGTGATTTTAACTTTTTTGGCACCAACATTCAAGAAAACCGTCCTGGCAACAAATGATCACCAGGACCTGCTGCATGCCCGGCAAGCCGCCGCACACCTCGGCGGCGTTCCTGCCTGTATCCGGCACGCTCGTCCCTAGCAGGTTGCCGTTGAAGGGCATCACCGTCCAGCGATAAGTGCTCCATAGCCGGCCACACGACCGAAGTTGGCAGTGCGGCTGAGATGTTTGTGGTGCTGCGGTGCGGTGACGAAGGCAGGGGAATCAGTACGGGCCATCAGCCATAATGTATTGCTGCCCCGACCAACCAACATCGCAGGACAGGCGGGCGCCTCGCTCGCGCAGACTGCAGCACGCAGCTGCTGTGCTCAGGAGCCATTGTGAGCACTCACTGATTCAGAAATTGCTTCAGCTTGTTCATCGGGTCCCACTCCAGGGCGGCTTTGTCCTCCGCTGGTATGGCTCTCACGTCCCGTGCGCCCTCCAGGGCTGACCAAGCAGCACCAAAGCCTAGCACAAAATGTATGGGGGACACGCAAGGTTGGCAGACAGTCAGGTGTGGCGCCGCTGCTATGGCGGCGCTCCGCGTGCTGCTGCATCAGGTTGAATGCCGTGCCAGCAGCCTTGTTTGGTACGGACCATTTTCAGCAGCAGTGTGTTGAAAGCAGGGAGGGGCGCGACTGGCAAGCACGTGCATGTTTGGCTGTGCAGGGATGACAAGACGGCGACGGGGGCAGTTGGAATAAGCGAGAGATAGAGGGAGGAGGGGCAAGCGCTGCAGAGCAGTGAAGGTTAAGATACGTAGAGGGTGTTTCACTGGTCTGATCCCTAATCCCAACGCATGTCCTTGTGCTGCTTTCCGAACGTGTTTTTTTCCACTTCGCGTGCATGGTGCAGCGCATGTCACAGCACAGAGATGTGAGCCCTGGCTGCTGAGGCGCCATGCTGTGCGGTTGCCCTGTGTTAGTGACCGATCTTTGCTTTTGTGCAATTTATTGCTGGCTCTTAGGCCACCGACCAATCTTCATTGGGGTGCGACGGAGATTCTCCACAGCGGGGCCGTGCATGGGGTAATGTTGCAAGCGCCGCCCTCTGAACAGTGCCCCCTGCTCTCACCCGCAAGGACCGCCAGAAGCACAGCTATAGAAACCAGACGGCTCGATGAAGACACTACTGACCGCGCCATCTACGGCTGGTCGGTCGATGGTCGACTTTTGTCCGTGCTTCGGGTGCGTGCGAACGCTCGAAATTCTGTACAATAATTCTTCACACACAGCGCGGAAAACAGGGCTGCGCACCACCTTGTCCAAAACTACACCCGTACACCAGATGCACAGCAGCCGCTGTTCAGCGTTGAACACCAGCGACTTCGGTGCGGCAGGGCCCTGCAACCGCCACAACAAGCCTGCCAGTATCCAAAAACAATTCCAGCATGTTGCCTTCCCACCATTCAAGCCCCATGCCCTGCTGCATCCCACCCGTCAACCACGGTCAAGGTGACCCCCTAGCCTGGTGTCCAGCAGGTGACGACACGAGGACACCACCCAACATGCCCTTGATCCAGGCAACCGGTGCGCTTTTGCCGTCTGCATGATGTTGAGACGAGCACCCCGTACAACGTCAATCTGACAGCGGGGCGGCGCCCGAGCTCGCATCTGCAAGAGCAACAAGGGTGCTGGTGCTGTCTATCGCACGCAGCTGGCCGGTTCAAGGGCAGCTGCAGGTGGGCGTGCTGCAATCCACGCCAGGGCATGTGCAGGTACCCAGTCAGAAACCGCTCTTGCTGACCAAGAAAAATGCGGGGCTCAGTCGGACATGCTGCCCTCAAGTACAGCGTGCCCACCACTGACTAAGGTAACGTCATTGATAAAGCGCAGGCGACTGCTGTGCAAGCTTGGCGTCACTGAACACCGGGCTTGACAATCGCAAGCACATGCATAGGCCTGCGCTGGCTGGGGTCACGGTGAACCTCAACCAAGCCCTGCCTAGTCGACGTGAATCGTGTTGCCAGCCCGTCTGCGCCGTTGACCAGGGCGCACCACTCGCACAGGCGCATGGCGGCCTAGGGCAATTAGGAGGTTGTCACAGCTGCGTTCTTCCTTGGCTGACGTTTCGTATGCAGGAGGGCGGCTCTAGGGCAGCCGCTTTGCGCAAACTCCTCATGCGCCAAACTCCGAGGTGCACGGGTCAAGAGCGAGGTGACCGCGGAGGCGGCAAGCTCTGCTAGCGCGGCCTTAATTATTGTGATAATATTTGAACCAAAGCTTCCAATCCACCACACACCAGCAAGATGCGCTCCCTGAACACTCCAAGCACAGCGCGATCTTTCCGGGCAGCACGGCAGCAGAGGAGGTCAGAAGAGCCGCGATTATTTCGTTGCATATTTGTCGAATATTGGCGTGCAACAGGGGTGGCGTGCCTGGCTCCAGCGGGGTGGCTTGCAACGTGCAGCGCCAGCCACAGCGTCTGCTTTGCTGCTCGCAAACAGAACAGGCTGACGCGCACAGGGCGCCCGCAGGAGCAGCCCGCTCGATCAAGCATCACTGTGTTCAAATGCTTTGATTGCAGATGCACATGTTTACTCATCTTGCTACTGTGTGCAGCTGTCGCGCGTCTTATCGCACGCCATTCGTTGCTGCCGCTGAGTGTTGCTCAGTTGCCACACACACCCTGCTCGGCCGCCCTCGCTGCGCTTGCGCATCCACGCCACAGCGTGGCTGCCGCCGCGGCCGGCAAGCACATAGTCATCACCGGCGCTAACACTGGCATCGGATTCGAGGCGGCCCTGGACCTGGCCAAAAAGGACTATGACGTGACCCTCGCATGCCGTAATGACGACAAGGCGGCCGCCGCGGCGCAGCGCATCAAGTGAGAGGCACGGTGGCCAGGCTGCGCAGGCAGCGACTGGCAGAAGCAGGGGCGGGGCGGCGAAGGCCAAGGCGGTGCCGGCAGTAGCCCAGGCACCGCGGCCGGGCGTCGTTAAACCAAGGTTGCTTGGCCAATCAACGGCCACCCATGCAGCACCATGGCGAGCGAGCTTGCAGAGAACCGGCCCGGGCGCCCCTGCCCCCACGCTCTCGAAGCAGCCCGTGACCCCTCGCACCACCCTGTGCATCCACACTTTTCGACCCGTGCCCGCCGCAGGGCCGCCGTGCCCGGCGCCAAGGTGTCCACGCTGCGGCTGGACCTGTCTGACCTGGACAGCGTCAGGTGACCACGAGCGCTGAGTCGCGTAGCAACGCCGCATGCAAACCCCGGCGCGACGGTCGGCGATCAAACACGTGGCTGCAGCTTGGGCGTTGGCCTCGTTGTGATGCGCTAGAGCCGTCACCTGCCTATGAAAAAGCATTCGAGCGAGGCGTGAAGCCAGGGCGACGGTGCCTCTCAGCGACCGCAACCGTCGCATGAGGAAACGAGCGACGCGGCAGCAGTGATGACTGCGTTCGAAGCTACGCCTGCTTTGTTTCATCGCCGCGCTCATGCCTTTCGGCGCCGGCACCCAACCCACCTTGCCCCTCCTGCCCCCCGCCGCGACCCCCCCCTCTGCCCTTATCACCCTGAAAAAGGGATGCTGCCAAGCAGCTGCTGGACTCCCCCAAGGAGATTGACGTCCTTCTCAACAACGCCGGCGTCATGGCCTGCCCCTACATGGAGGTGCAGAACCCCGGCC